TATTGCACTGTCTCTGCCCTTCTTGGTGCTCCAGTAATGACCATTCTAATAACTTTACGTTTGTCTTTGAGATTAGTTGATCCATTCTGATTCTCTCACTGATGTGCTGATTCCACGAGGGCAGAAACCACATGCTTATTTTTTTTTCACCTTTGTGACCCATTACTTAGCTGGTATCTGGCACAGAATGGATATGTAACAAATTCTTATTGAATGAGGAGTGGAATTTAGGAGGTCAATGTGGCTTTGGGCCCCCTGAAATGTCAAACTTATAATTGTGGTTGGAACTATTAAGGAATAAGGCTGAGGACAGACCACCCAGTATTTAGTGAGTACCTTAAAGCGCTAGGCAATATTAGGAACTGGAGTTGAGATACTGAAAAGTAGTCAAAGTTTGAAAGAAATGTCCACTGGGGCGCCTGGGTGGCTCAGTCCAGTAAGTGTCTGCCTTCAGCTCGGGTCATGATGTTAGGGTCCTGGGATAGAGCCCTGCATCAGGCTCCTTGCTCAGCGGGGAGCCTGCTTCTCCTTCTGCCTCTCCCTACTTCTAGTGCTCTCTTACTCTCGCTCTTGCTCTCATTCCATCATCAATAAATAAATAAATAAATAAATAAATAAATAAATAAATAAAATCTGAAATAAAGAAAGAAATGCCCATGAAAACTCAGTCCTCTGTGAGATCCGGCCAGGAGTCCCATGAATGCAAATTACAGAACTGGGAAGTGAGCTCACCCTACTGTCCTGCCCACTTGGTCTCCTAAAGACTCGCTGGGAAGGAGGACCTAAAGCAGGGAGGTGTAGGGGTAGGGAATGGAGTGGGAGGGGCAGAGAAGGCTAGAAAAACTGAGGGATTTGTTGGTAAGGATCAAGAACAGTGATTTTTTTTAATTTATTTTATTTTTTTAAGATGTGTGTGTGTGTGTATGTGTGTGTGTGTGTGTGTGCGTGTGTGTGCGTGTGTATTTCGAGTGTAGGCAGAGCAGGGAGCCCAATGTAGGGCTCGATTCCAGGACCCTGAGATCATGACCTGAGCCAAAGATGGATGCCTAACCTACTGAGCCACCCAGGTGCCCCAGGAACAGTAATGTCTGACATCTGTGTTATGTAACAGAACTTCCTTCTAAGGAAGGATCTTGGAGAGAGTCCTGTTCCACTCAATACTTTGACTGGTTATAGTTTTCTATTTTTTTTTTTAAGATTTTACTTATTTATTCATGAGAGACACAGAGAGAGTGACAGAGACACAGAGGGAGAAGCAGGCTCCTCGCAGGGAGCCTGATGCAGGACTTGATCCCTGGACACTGGACCCAGGATTGCGCCCTGAGCCAAAGGCAGACTCAACTGCAGAGCCACCCAGGCACCCAGAAATCCCATAGATTTCTAAGGAGCCAAGACCAATTCCGGGACGAGGGGCTGAAGACAGATGGGGTATGCTGCCTGACAGTCTGTGACAGGAAAGGGTGGGGTTGGGGCAGTGTCAGCAAGACGGTCAGTGCCTTTGCTGCCTTATGAGGTAGCGAGACTACCCATAAATTTCTGGGGCAGGAAGGACCGTTGAAAACAAGAATACCTAAAATTCAATTTTAAGTTGTAACCTTGTGATATGTAAACGTTTCTTAAGCAAAAGTTTAGCCACACCTAACAGCCTTCTGTTTACCATTGGTTTGGAGGAAAATTCAAGAAAGCCTGTATAGGGCAGGAACCTGTGTCAGGGCAGAGGTAAGGGAAGAGCCAGGAGCACAAAGGCAAGAACTGGACTTGAGCTGAGTGGGAACAAGAGATGGCCATAACAGCTGGACCACCAGAGTTGGTGCCAGTTGACAGCTCTGCCTCTTCCTCACTCTGTCCAGGGCCTGTCCTGCTTGAAAGGTCAGGAGTGTCTTACCTAGATATCAAGAAGTAGGGTGGCCCCAGCTGCCATCTGGGCTATGGTCACTGTTCCAGTTTGAGGGTTTAGTCAGGCCCTCAGAAATAAAGAAAATCATCAAAAGAGATGTGCTTCCGTGGGCCTGTCTCTGGAGATGCAGGAGGAGGAGGGAGGAGTTGAGAAGAAAAGATCTCTGTGCCAGCATGTGTGGAGAGAAGCTGCACCCCAAAAGAGAATGTGGTAAAGGAAGATTCCGAGGGAGAGGTCAGCAGGTTGCACTCGCAGACCTGTAGACAAGATGAAGGCACTACCCAGGGAGCCAGTCCAGGTTCCATTCACCTAGAGCAAAGTGAGGTCCAGAAAGCTGGCTTTCCTCCTCTGGGCCACAGTACTCCAGGAGAGCCAGACAGACCCTGCTCCTGCCCTTTCCCCCACGAAGAGGGATGATGGGCCCTAGCACAGAGCACCGAAGCCTCCTTCGCATGGATGAGTAGCCGTGAGACTGTGAAAGTTGCCAGTCCTCTCTGGGTCCTCCAGTTCCCCCTTCTGCAAGTTCTCCCTAAAGGTCCCAACTCCTCCTTGCTCTTGTGTGGTATACTCCAACCCCACAGGCCCCCACTTCTCATGCCCAGGTTTAAGACTCATAGTGAAGGGGCACCTGGGGGCCTCAGTCAGTTAAGTGTCCAACCCATAGGTTTCAGCTCAGTTCATGATCTCAGGGGTTGTGGGATGGAGCCCCTCATGGGCTCCACACTCAGTGGGGAGTCTGCTTGAAGATTCTCTCCCTTTGCGCTTCTCCCTCCCTCTCAAATAAATCCTTTTTTAGACTTTTGTTTTTAATTTATTCATAAGAGACACAGAGAGGCAGAGATATAGGCAGAGGGAGAAGCAGGCTCCCTGTGGGGACCCAATGAGGGACTCGATTCCAGGAACCCAGGATCACGACCTGAGCCAAAGGCAGTTGCTCAACCACTGAGCCACCCAGGTGCCCCAATAACTAAATTAAAAAAAAAAAAGATTCACAGTGAAAAGAATGACCACATCTGGGGATGGGACAGGACTGTTAGTGACAGCACAATCCTCAGATGACAAGGTTGTCTCTCTGAGGTGGGAATTCAGGCACCCTGCCTGCAAGGGAGAAGAGTGGTTGTGTAGAAATAATTCTTCAGATCACACTCACATGTGGTTTCCCACGTGTGAGGACCCTCTTGAAGAGAAGAGGGGCCTGGAGGAAAGCACGGGGATGGAAAATATGAAGAGAAAGGAAACCAGAGTGAGTGAGAGAACAGAGCTAACAGGTGAGGTCACAGGAGTGTGACATTTTATGAGCAGTGTGGAAACAGCGCCAAAGCCCCCGAATGAAAAGGGGCCTGGAGAAATAAACTGTGGGTTCAAAGAGAGAAAAGTCCAACAAGTTCCAATATCCCCAGATCAGCCTTCCCAGGAGAACAGCAGAAACAGGCAAGCAATTACCCGGGGAATCTCATCCCAAGTGCCAAGGCTGGGAAGAATGAAATCGGTAGTGAGGTGACAAGGGAAGGCCCAGAGGGACAGTGATACCCACCCCATGGGCTGGCAGGATGAAATGAGATTGCATGTGATCTCCTAGCTGAGAGGAGGACATGGGTGTAAGTCCCTTGTTTGCAATGCAGAACAATTCTGTAGCAAAGTATTTTGGCCATAAAACCAGACCTCATTCGATGCAAGGGTTAGTTACGGTCCTTATTAAACCCACTTAGCTTCAATGGTTCATTCTTTTTTAAAAATTAAAAAATAGGGATCCCTGGGTGGCGCAGCGGTTTGGCGCCTGCCTTTGGCCCAGGGCGCGATCCTGGAGACCCGGGATCGACTCCCACGTCGGGCTTTCGGTGCATGGAGCCTGCTTCTCCCTCTGCCTGTGTCTCTGCCTCTCTCTCTCTCTCTCTCTCTGTGACTATCATAAATAAATAAAAATTAAAATTAAAAAATAAAAATTAAAAAAATAAAAATAAATAAAAAAATAAAAATTTAAAAATATATATATTGGGCAGCCCGGGTGGCTCAGCGGTTTAGCACCACCCTCAGCCCAGGATGTGACCCTGGAGAACCAGGATCAAGTTCCACGTCAGGCTCCTTGCAGGGAACCTGCTTCTTCCCTCGGCCTGCCTCTCTCTCTTTGTGTCTTTCATGAATAAATAAATAAAATCTTAAAATATATTTTTTTTTGAGAGAGAGAGAGAGCATGAGCTGGGGGGAGGAGCAGAGGGAACCTGACCCGGTACTCTAATCCCAGGACACCAGGGTCATGAGCTGAGCTAAAGGCAGATGCTTAACTGACTGAGCCACCCAGGTGCCCCAATATTCTTTTACTGCAGAAATGTTGTGCTTGATTGTAAGTGCTATGCCAGCCCCGTGAGGGCATTTTGCAGGGCTAGTTTCTCCCCCAAATCTGAAAAATCCTGAATTCTAAAACTTATCTGACCCCAAGAGTTTCAGATAAAAGTTGGTAGACCTGTACTCAGGTCTCCCCTCCTTCTCTAAACTGTTATCAGTTTGTAAGCTGTGAACAGGGGGCAACGTGGGCATCTCTGTGCACAAGCGTGTGAAGGGGAGAGGTAGTGACCCATGCAACCAACATTCTGTAAAAGAGACGGGCATGAGTGGGTTATGTTCTTAGTGAGCATAAGAGCCAGATGGAGGGCAGCCCGGGTGGCTCAGTGGCTTGGTGCCACCTTCAGCCCAGGGTGTGATCCTGGGGTCCCGGGATCAAGTCCCACATTGGGCTCCCTGCATGGAGCCTGCTTCTCACTCTGCCTGTGTCTCTGCCTCTCTCTCTCTGTGTCTCATGAATAAATAAATAAAATCTTTAAAAAAAAAAAAAAGAGCCAGATGGAAACCGGGAGAGGCCGGCATGTTGGAGGTGATGGATGCCTTTGAGGAGCAGCAGATCTTCTGACAAAGCTTGCCCTTTAATACTCTTGCTGGCACCCAGCACACGGAAAAGGGGGAGGGGGTGGAAGTCGCTGTTCTGAGAAAAAAAAAAAAACAGGCACAATAGAGCTTCAGCTGCCATCAAAGGTCGCCTTACCACCTGAAGCCAACTTCTGAAGAGGGCCTGCAGCTGCTGCCCAGGAGATACAGAGAGTAGGTACCAGTACCCAGCTGGACGTCCCAGCTCCACCGAGGCCAGCAGTCTGCAACTAGGGTGCAAAAAGAGCTCCCCTGAGTGAGAACCATGGCCCGGCCACCTCCCTGCTGGCTGTGGATTCTGGGGACCCTGGCGGGGCTCTCAGCCACCCCAGCCCCTAAGCGCTGTCCAGAGAAACACTACCAGGTCCAGGGAGAACGGTGCTGCCAGATGTGTAAGCCAGGTAAGAGAGGAGGCCTCGCCAGGGGTTTGGGGGTGGGAGGGGAGCAGAGAGTGTGTCTGAGCTCAAGCAAGGAGAGGAATCCTGTCCTGCCTTGAAGAGGGCAGAGTAGTGGCCTTCCTTGCGCCTTGACCCTAGACCTCTGCTCACAGGAACTTTCCTCGTGAAGGACTGTGAAAGGCATGGAGAGGCTGCTCAGTGTGATCCCTGCATACCGGGGGCCTCCTTCTCACCAGACCACCACGCCCGGCGCCACTGTGAGAGCTGTCGGCATTGTAACTCTGGTGAGATGGGCAAGCCTCCGGGGGAGCAAGGTGGCAGAGCTGGGTGTGGAGAAGCAAAGAGGAGGGGGTCAGAGCTTGTCACTTCGAGGCTACTGCAAGTGGAGGCAATGCTGGGAAATGGGGTGACCTGGGCACATACCCTGGGGAGAACTCTAGTGTTACAGTGAAGGAGAAAGCAGAATTTGGGGGGCTGCTGAGAATGGGTGTATAACTCAGATCATGACAAGAAGGGGTAAGTGAAAAAAATGGGAGGGGAAGTAGCCCTAGGTCCCTAGATTTCAGATAAGCGACCCCTTATTGATGAACTGGCTGCATCTGAAGCATGCATTTGTTTGGACCCCGGAGTACATCTTTCTTAGTATATAACAATACCAGCCGGTGGGAAATATCTTTCTTCTTTTCACACAAAAGCCTATTTAGGAAAATGAATATGTGTGTGTGGCCCATGTTTTTGTTTATTTTAGAATTTTATCTTTTATAAAATGAAGAAGTGCAATGTCTGCAGCTGTGTTATGGATTCTTTTATTATTTCTCCAGCTTAGCTAGAATTTCAGAAACCATGTGCCAGCCTACATAGAGTAGCAGACTTTCAAGTGGCCCCTTTGCACAAATGTTCCCCCTCATGACCCTTGTGAGGACTCTGTAACTGAACTACTACACTGCTTACCTATGCATGAATTTTCTAAAAGGTCTCAGTGTTCCCTTTAATGACCCTAGTAATAGAGGCAGAGGCACTCACTAGGTGACAGAGAGCGAGGGGCAGGAGTCCCTCACTGTGGGTCTGGGTTGGGAGCTCAGGGCAGGATTTAGCAAGTGCACCTTGCAGGTCTCTGAGGCCTGAGCTGCTTGTGTGTCCCTGTCCCCCCCACCCTGCCCTCTGTCAACAGGTCTTCTCATTCGAAACTGCACTCTCACCGCAAATGCGGAGTGTGACTGCCCCAAGGGCTGGAAGTGCAGGGACAAGCAGTGTACGGAGTGTGATCCTTCTTCAAACCCCTTACTGATACCTCATCCGTCTCCAGCCCCGGGCCCACACTTGCAACCCACCCACTTACCTTACGCCAAAATTAAGTTCCAGGCAACGCTTTGTCCAGTGACAGGTATAGTAAGGCTCTCGCCACAATCACCACCCTCCCCAAGTAAGTTGCCTGGCCAGCCAGTCAGCCCTCCCATCTCATTGTGCGTCTTAGGCCTCAGGCCTTCCTTAGGCCTAGGAGATTCCCCAGCTCCTGCTCAGCCTGTTTCTTTTTCCAGAGATGAAGGAGACCAGCACAGTCCGGCAGGTGCAGACCCTGGCTGACTTCAGGTGGCTGCCTGCCCCAGCTCTCTCCACCCACTGGCCACGTGAGTTTTCTCTCCCTGTTCTCTACCCCCAGAGAGACTGCATACAGGAGAGGGAAGCCAGCCAGAAAGCTCCTAGGAGGAGAGTTTAGAAGGGGGAGAAGCAGAGTCTACGGGTTAGGAAAGAACTGAGTCCAGTGGTAGCAGTAGGGAAGGGGATGGGCGACAGTTGGGAGGGGAGGTGACAATGGGCCTAGGCTGAGGGGAGTCAAGGCCTAGGCTCTCTCCAAAAACCCTGTGTGGCCTCTGCCTGTCACAGCCCAAAGGTCTCTGTGCAGCTCAGATTGCATCCGCATCTTTGTGATCCTCTCTGGAATGTTTCTTGCTTTCACCATGATCGGAGCTCTGTTCTTCCACCAACAAAGAAAATACAGGCTAAGTAAGAGACAACATACAGGTTTCCAGTCCTGTCCCTGTCCCCTACCCTACCATCCCAGGCCCTCTGCCCATGCCTGGAACCTCAGGGAAGCTTTCCTTACTCCATCTTTACCAACGCTGGCTCCCACCTTCTCTTTCTTCCCTCTTAGCTGGCAACCCCCTGACAGCTAAGCTGACCCTCCTTGGCTCATCTCCACTCCTGTCACCACCCCCCACCCTCACTGCCAGTGAGGATTCATCTGATTCTCCTCCCGCAGACAAAGAAGAATGCCCAGTGGTGCCTGTGGAGCCTTGTCCTTACAGCTGCCCCAGGGAGGAAGAGGGTGGCGCCATCCCCATTCAGGAAGATTACCGAAAACCAGAACCCGCTTCCTACTGCTGAGCTTGTGCACCACGGAGAGGGGTGGGCAGGTCATCAGTACAAAAAACCTCAGCCTCCATCCCACCCCAGTGGTGGGGCCATCCAGGGGGAACAAGACTGTCCCACCACCCCCGCCCCCAGTTTCAGTACCACCCTGTTAATCAGAACCCTTTCCTATGTGCAGACTTGAAAAAGTGCCTTTTGGAGATTGGCAGTGAAAAGGACACATGGGGATGAGGTGGAAGGTGGGACACAGGGACTCAAGTGTGTCTTGGCCCACCCACTTTCACTCCAGCCCTGCACCAGAGGGCTATGGCCTTAGCTGGAGAACACAGTTTCCCCTACGAAACACCATGTGCTGTATCACTGACCTAGAACCTCGGCAAAATAAAGTGACAGCCAGCCACATACAGAAGCTCTCCCAGCGGTGCTCTCTCTGAAATTCCATTCTCCAGGTGCAGGCCACTCCCAGCCTCCTCCTCCAGATCAGAGATCTGAAGGTGGAGCTTTCTCCAGTGCAGACTAGTGGTGAGGGCCCTGCCCAAGTCAGGGAATGGGAACTGCAAGTGGGTGTGGCACCCACAGAAAATGAAGAGAGTCCCCAGGCTACTGGGGATCCTGCATCTGGCTTCAGTCTCCCCCTTATTTCAGCTCCACTTTCTTGGGTGGGGAGCAAAAGGGTACATGCCCTCAAGTCAGGTCTTAAACAAAAGGGGGAGGAGGGTGGGAGCCATGGGGCGGTAGGGCGGGGTGAGGCGACAAAAAGGAGAACAATGAAGAGGACTCTGGAACGAGCACCTAGTGGCTTCACTGACAGGCAAGGCAGCCACGTTGATAGCCAAAGTGAAAGCGAAAGTGGGCTGAGGACTGAAGAGAAAGCAACAGGCCGGCAGGGGTGGTTTGGAGAGACCCCTCTTCCGCAGCTCAGAGGCACCAGTCAGCAGGAACTGGTGCAAAAAGGCGGTTGGGGAGAGGGGCAGGAGCAGGGTGGTGGCTGCTGCTCCACTTGGCTGTCCAGGGCGGCCCCCATGGGCCCAGAGGAGGGGTGGTACCTGCTGCTCTGCTTGGCTCTGTCCCGTGCGGCTACAGACCCAGGTGAGTGGGGGGGGCTGGCTGGGGAGGGGAAATGTTGGGTCCCGGGAAGATGTGATAGCCACCCACCCCAAGATTCCTGAGATGCCAGAAGGGGAAAAGGTTGTGGGGAAGGGCGGGGGATGGCCTCCAATTGCCTCCTAAGCCCAACTGGAAAAAAGGCTGGCAAAGTAAGGCACCAGTAGCGTTGGGGAGAAGGAAGACTGTGGGGAAGGCCAGATGAAGAAAAGTGTGTTCTCCTGGGTGGATGTGGTGGTGGGCCTACTGAAGAGGACAATGCCTGGGAGCAGACACCCAGGAAGGAAGGGTTCCTGGCTAGGAAATCCCTGGAGGAGGTGAGCCCTGAACGTGGAAGAGAGGAAGGCCACCTTAATGGCAAAAAGCAGAGGAGACTCAGTGGGCTGGCTGGGAAATGGAGAAGATGGCTGCCAATGCCCCTTGCCACACAAGTGTCCTGTCTCCCCTCTCAGTGGCAATTCTTTATTTGCTTTTGCTGAGAATGCCTTTGCCCAAAGAGAGTTTTTCCTGTGACAGTTGTAGTAAAATAAAAACAAACTCTTCTGAGCAAGGCAAATCCAGGATTTTAAATAATTCATACCAAGTATGTACCTAGAGTAGCAGGTGCTTCCCAGAAGGCTGGTTTGGAGGTGACAAGAGTGGGACACAGAGCCAGCTAAGACCCTGGAAGACTTTTACCCCTTCCTTCATGACTCCACAGTTGGGGTGGGTGACGACGAGCACAGGAACAACTCTCTGGGCAAGAGGGTGCTCATCCCATCTTTAACCTGCAGCAGAAAGGCAGTGGCAAGCAGTGGATGTGGTCCTAGACTGCTTCCTGGTGGAGGAAGGTAGGAACCCTGGAGGTTTTGCCGGCAGTATGAATATGGTGAAGGCCTTGCTCGTGCTGAGGCAGGTACCAGTGCTGGATGATGGCTCCCTGGAAGGCTTCACCGATTTCCAAGGGGGCACACTGGCTAAAGACAACCCATCCATTACCTTCGAGGCCTCAGGTAAGAGCCCCCCACCCTGTGTCCCAATCTTTCTGGGCTCCCTTGCTGAGACAGCCCAGTTCCCAAGTACACTCGCTGCACCTGCTTTCCATGGGCCCAAGTGTCCTCAATCCAACCAAATCTGTGTCCTCTCCTCCCCCAGTGAATTTGGTACAGATTCCCCAGGCTGAGGCCTTGCTCCATGCTGACTGCAACGGGAAGGAGGTAACGTGTGAGATCTCCTACTATTTTCTCCAGGCCACTGAGAAGGCAGCTTGGTTCATCACCAACGTGCAGGTATCTGGAGAGGGACCTAATATCTCCATGGTGATGAAGACTCCCAGGGATGCTGAAAATGGGGCTGTCTTGCACCCCACACTGAACCTGCCCTTGAGCCCCCATGGGACAGTACAGACTGCCGGTGAGAAGATTAAAAGTAGCAGAAAGGAAATTTTGGGGTTTTTCAAGTAGTCAGCTATGGGGGGATAGGAGGAAAAGGAAGGGAACAAGTACACCTCTGTCCATATCAGTCATTTCAAGGTGTCCCCTAGCCTTGGCCCCTTCTCTGAAAGACCCAAATAATTGGATTTGGATTATTTTCACCTCCCTCATCTGAGGAAATGACATGTGATGCTCTATTCACATATGCTGTCCCTAGCAGTCTTATTAAGCCATGCACAGTTGTATCCCAGTGAAAGCCAGCCTGGTCTGGTGTTTCAGGATGGTTAGAGCAAGGCACAGGGATACAAGTTTGTTCATTATCTCTTGTTAGTAAAATCTGGCCCTTATATACTCTCCCACCCAGCACATACCAGAGGGTATAGGAAATTGAGATCATGATGATAGGTTTCTCTAGAGTTGATCAAATCCAGTATTTTGCCTCCAAAAAGAGACAACCAAGTCCAGAGATTAGGGGGCTACCCTCCTGTCCATAGAAAGCCCCAGAACACTCGAAGCTTTCTGTGGTGCAACCTAAATTTATCCTGCCACATCAGGAAAGAGGGGTTCTCATGTCTGTCCAGTATCAACCATAATGAATACTTGTATACCATTCACCTAGATTAACCAGTTATTAATATTTTGCCACATCCACTCTCTTGATAGATGAAAGGATAGAATAACCCCCACCCCGAGCTAACAGAAAGTTACAGATATCTCAACACTTCACCCCAAAAGTTTCCATGTATAGCATGTATTTGTTTAAAACACATTAAAAAAAAAAAAACAATGTTTATAACCAAAGACAAGGATGTTTCCTTCATAATCACAAAACCATCACCCCAGCAGCAAACCAAAGTGGGGAGCAATCTACAATGGTGCAGACAATAAGGGGCTACAGTGTGTAAAGAATTCAAGAACATATTTTCACCATTACACTATCACCATATTGGCCATTTTGAATATTACCAGTGATAAAATATTCCTCCCTGCCAGGGAGGGTATGCCACCAAGCATCAGACTGAAGAAAATTTCAAATAGATACAGTAGTACTGTCAAAATTCAGACTTCTCCAGTTGCCCTAATAATGTTCTTTGTAGCTTTCTGGGTTGCTTTGTTTTTTTTTTGTTTGTTTGTTTTGTTTTGTTTTGTTTTGTTTTGTTTTGTTTTGTTTTGTTTTTTAAGGCCAGGATTCAAACAAGGATCATGCATTATATTTAGCTGTCCTGTGCCTTTAGCTTCCTTAAGTCCAGAACATTCTTTTCCTGGCAAGGACACTTTGAGGGTGCATGCCCACTGTCTCATAAAATATCCCACTATTTGGATGTGTCTGATTGTCTTCTCATTAGATTCAAATCAGCACATTTGGCACAAATACTGCTACTGTGTGTTTTTTAAAACTCTTACTCCTGGGGCACCTGGGTAGCTCAATGGTTGAGCATCTGCCTTTGGCTCAGGCCGTGACCCCAGGGTCCTGCGATCGAGTCCCACATAAGGCCACAAGGACCCTGCTTCTCTCTGTGTGTCTTTCATGAATTAATAAATAAAATATATATTTTTAAAAACCCTCTTACTCCTAGTCTTCACAGCAGCCTTGCCTTAAGCAGATGACCTAGGCAACCCTTAGTGACTTGCCCAAGGTCATAGAGCTAATAAGTGGAAGAAGCAGGGTTCCAAAGTTTTTTCTGCTATTCCAGTGGTCTGACCTGAGAGTCAGCAGTAACTCATAATTTTGCATATGTACTTTTTTGGTGAGAAGTCCATAGCTTTTGTCAGATTGTCCAGGGGTAAGTGACTCCAGAATACTCAGCATTATCATGTGTGCCAGGCTGCCTTCCCAGAGCACTATTTCTTTGTGTTCCATCTAGTGGGAATTGAGCTCAACGGGCCTCATTGTCCAGAGGAGGAGGCACGGGCAGGTGTATGCCTACAACATGCCCATAGCTAGGGATCAGGGGGACTCAAGAAGGAAGTAGCCCACAATCACCCTTCTTTTTCTCACTACAGTGGAGCTCCAAGTGACAACACAGACCCCATCCCTGAGTTTGCTGCTGGGGTCCTCAGCCTCCCTGCACTGTGGCTTCTCCATGGCACCAGGCTTGGTCCTGACCAGTGTGGAATGGCGGCGGCAACATAAGGGCAGCGGCCAGATGGTGTACAGGTGGACCAAAGGGCAGCAGCATGCCAAGCGGGAGGGCGCCACCCTGGAGCCTGAGCAGCTACTCCTGGCCGGGGACGCCTCCCTCACCCTCCCTAGCCTCACTCTGAAGGACGAGGGGACCTACATTTGTCAGATCACCACCTCTCTGTACCAAGCTCAACAAAACATCCATTTCCACATCCAAGGTGAGGCCATACTCAGTTCTCCAGGGAGAGGGTAAGGGATATGCCTATGGGAGTGTTTTTCAGGACAGAGTCCAACACAAGGGCAGTATCTTGAGAAGCAGAATGCATTGCCATGACCTAACTGCCACCTCCATTCTAGAAGCGCAGACTGTTCCCTGTCAGACTCCAGGATAATTCCACCAAGCAGTCTACCAATCCAGGATTCTGCTGCCCTGTCCTGGCTGGCTGGCTCCCAAGTACCCCAGTCCTCTGGACCAAATCCTGGGGAGGAGCAGCAGCAAACCGAGGGGCCATGGGGGCTGTCAGATTGGCAGGAGTATTCAATTACTGATGTCCTTGAAAATCACCAGCTAATAGTGATTTTTTTTTTTTAGAGATTTTATTTATTTATTCATGAGAGACACAGAGAGAGAGGCAGAGACATAAGCAGAGGCAGAAGCAAGCTCCTCGCAGGGAGCCCGATGTAGGACTCGATCCCCAGACACCAGGATCATGCCCCATGCCAAAGGCAGATGCTCAACCACTGAGCTACCCAGGCATCCCGAGCTAATAGTGATGTTAAGAAGCCAACTTTTACTTGGTTTTACTAAGTTTTACTATTGTTTTTCAATTACCTGTGGAAGACGTGCCCCCTTCTGGCCTGCAACCAGGGTGGACCCCTTCCACCCCCTCCTTGGCACTCCACTAAAGGGTTAATTCCAGCTTCCACACCAGCAAGAAAAGAAAGCAGGCTTTGGGCAACTCTGCTATCAGGTTAGATCCCTCTAGAAACTCACTCCCCATTCTTTCTTCCAGCTTCCCCCAAAGTACGACTGAGCTTGGGGAACAAAGCTGTGCCAGCCACCCTCGTCTGCAACATTGCTGGCTATTATCCTCTGGACATGACTGTGAAGTGGACCCGAGAGGAGCTAGGTGGAGCCCCAGTTCTGGTCTCTGGTGCCTCCTTCTCTGGCCTCCGGCAAAGCTCAGATGGCACCTACAGCATCTCCTCCTTCCTGACCGCAGAACCAGGCCCTGAGGGCACCACTTACACCTGTCAGATCACCCACATCTCCCTGGAACAGCCCCTCAGTGTCAGCACCTGGATTGCCCCACCAGGTACTAGGAGTGCCGTCCTTTCTCAACTTCTGTACTTGGGGCTCCTGGCTCTCCTGCCCCCAGCTCGTCTCTGGCCTTGTTCTGCTTCCCACAGCACTTTGTTCCGTTTCTACTTCTAATTTCCTGAGATGGCAGCCCCCATAGCTGCCACTACATCCTGAGACTCCATTACACCCCAGGTTCCAGGGTGCCAGGCAATATACTGAGAGCTGGAGACCAAGGGTGAATTGTTCCTGCCCTCAAGGAGCTTAGTCAGCTTGGAGGGATGGACTAGGCAGTCAGGGAGGATGGCCTGGAGGAGACACGCCAGCTGAGCAAGCTGAATGTGAAGGCCAAATTATAAAGTCTCAGGAACATTTGGGGAACTGCACAGCTAGAGCCAAGGGTGTGTGGGAAAAGAGAGAAGCGGCTCTGAAACTTGAATAATTACATTTATTGGGCATTTACATGAATCAAGTGCTTTACTGAGCACTTAGCTGTATGACTGCATGTATTATTATCACGACCCCCATTTTATTGATGAGCAAACTGGCACTTACAGATGTTAGGGAATTTGCCCAAGGTCACCTGCCTAGCAAATGGTAAGAGAGAAAATATGAAATATGGGCAGCTTGACTCCCCTATAGCCTTACATCCTTTACTGCTTTTAGTGGGCAGATCACAATGGGCCTGCAAGCTGGAATTTCATCCTGAAGTCACAGAATATCATTGAAAGGTTTTAAACAAGACCTGCAAACATCCAGGAGCATTGGGCATTATTTGGCGGCTTGCCAGCCTGCAAGCTTCCCAAAATCTGGGGTTTTGTCTCAGCTTACATCATTCCCCAGCTAGTTGCAAAATTCCAGTTTACCTGTCAACAACTAATCTAACCTGTCTCTCTTGCAAAGCAATTAAAAATGTTCCAAGTAGGGGAAGAGGCAGGAAATTCTGTGTGGAAGAACACACAAACATCTGACAACTTTTAACAAGTACGAATACTAGTTGTGTAGTTCCTGGGTGAAAGCAGAACATTTGTTGCTATGAGCTCCTTAACCAGGGATGGGGACACTTGCACATTCCCTCTCTTCCTCTCTCAGCTTTGCCCCTCTTGCTGGGGCAGGTGTGGGCTCGGGCTTGGGCTCAGACATAATTCCCACCTACTGATCTCTGCCCACACTGATCTCAACCTAAAGAGCAGGAAACAACCTTTGGAGTCCTATTTGCCAGCGGCCTCTTCCTTCTTGCACTGTTGTTCCTGGGACTTCAAAGATGACAAGGTAAACACCTGCTTGCCTTCAGCCCTGCCCCTACCCCTCCTCAGTTGTGAATCAGTCAGCTCTAGCCACCTCCCCACCTAGATGAGGATGAAGCCCAAGTGTCCTGAGTTCCAGCAGTCCCCACAGCCCCTTACTTTTGGGATTACCGCAACTGAAACCAACCTCCTTCTCTCGTCTTCTCCTAGCTACCTCACCAAGATCTGTCAATACTCTGAAGTGGTAACCACTCTCCTGCCTCAGGATAAAAGAAGAGTAGTCACGTTCTCCCAAAAGGACTCTAGCCAAGTCTCAGAGCTCAAAAAGACTCCAAGAAAGGCATGAAGAAGGCACAGATCATGGGTACTCTGTCTCTGTGTAGGTCTCTGCCTTTTTTCATTGTGTCCCTGGGCTGAACACAATGTGAAGGGGTGAGAGGGTGGTAGGAAAGCATAATATCTGGGTGGAGGTTAAAAATGAGCCTGTGGTAGGAAAAGAAAATGGGACGAGATTAAGGAGTAAGCGGGTAAGTCATGAGCTCATGGTTCATGAGATAGAGCCCCGCAGCAGGTTCCACGCTCAGCAGTGAGTCTGCTTGAAGATTCTCTCTCCCTCTGCCCCTTCCCCAACTCATGCTCCTGCTCTCTTTCTAAATTTTTTTTTTTTAAAGGAGCAAGTAAGGGACAGTGGGGCAAAGGTGGGGATTGGGCCATAACACATAAGCATTTGAACCCTAGTCAAGTAAAAATCCCTTGTGTCCTCAGAAACAAAGCTTTTCTACTTTCCTGTCTTTTCCCCACACTGGACCCAACTAAGCCCTGTACCCAGGCCTACTCCCACCAACTTGCAGTGTTCAAGGCATGAAATGAAGGCCCTCAGAGGAAGCCCTGGGGCACCATGCTGTGTGCTCTGTGTAACCTTGAGCTGCAATTAAGGTCATGCCCTTTTGGACAGCTACTGAGTATTTCAGGATACCTACAGGGTCCTCACTCCCTCAACTGCAGGTGAGGCTGCTGGGGAGCTGGGTGTGTTGGTGGAGGCCTCATCTGGGTACCCCCTGGGTCAGGCTGGGCAGCCTGAGGACCCGTGAAGGAGGTACATGGGTGGTGTCTGAGAAATCCTGTAGCGGTTTGTGATGTGATGTTTCAGACATGCACTCAGCTTCCTGTCATCACTTCCTCTCACTAGCACCTGGGAGAGCTGGGCTGTGCCAGGTACGAAGACAGGGCAGAGACCACTTCCTCTGCCAACACAGATCTTTCATCTCGAGTACCATGCGGCACATGTGAGCCTTCCGGCCTTGAGCAACATCACACTGTAGAAGGAAAACCACCCCTCCCCCATCCCACCTCAGTTACTCCAACCCAAACAACAACCAAGTCAGTTTAGTGGTAGGAATTTATATTTTTTTGCCTTTGTGCAGAATACATGAAATTGGTAAATATGCCACATGCCTTTGGTGGAAGTACAACTGTTCTTATTCTATACAAGTATGAGGTCGGGGGTAGGAAAAAACACGGAGGTGATGACAGACACACAGTGGAAACCCCACATCGCCTCATGGCAAACCAAGGAAGAAGGGGATGTGAGAAGCTCAGCTTCATTTGACTGCAAAGTCCCGGAGTTTGGGTACACGTCTGCTCATGCACATGGGTGGCAGGAGGGAAGAGGGACACGGCAAAGACACAGAAGAGGGCACAGGGTGGGGTAAGAAAGAAAGTAGAAGGGTGAGCATCCCCAAGAGAACAAAGCCAACTACATCTGGGGAGCCACAGAGGGACAGAGACCCAGGAAAAAATTCCCATGTTGGGGCTGGGTGGGCCAAGAGGGTGAATTTGCTCCAGGCTTGGGACACATCGAGGACAGTGGTGGTTCTTCTCCAGCGGTGACCCCCCTGCATTAGGCAAGGAGGAGCCCAGAGGAGAGTGGAGACCTTCGAGGGGGGCCGTTGGGAGGGTATACTGACTGCTTTCTTCCAGCTCTTCGGGCCTGCCCTGGGGCAGGACTAAGGGAATGTGGGAAGCAGGGGCGAAGGGAGAGGAAGCATGGTTCTGCGCAATGAAATGCTGCTGCATGGAAAGTGAACATCCAGACCCAGCCTGGCCTGGCCTCAGCCTCTTTTTACTTGTGGGCTAGAAGACAAGAGGACTAAGGGGTGATGGATGTTCCCCCTTCCTGCTCCCAGCCACCTTCCTCCCCTCAAATCTGGGTCTCTCCCACTCCACAACCTATCCTGAAGCCCAGCTGTGTCTCCCATCCTCAGGTCCCACTGTCTGCCCCCACAAACCATGAGAGGAAAGGCAAGGAGGCAAAGTGGAAATCAGAAGGGTACAGGTGGTTTAGAAGGGGAACACAATGCAGGAAGAATAGACAGGTGGCTCTAGATGCCCCATGACAGCACAGCAGTGCACAAGCACACCTGTCCACAGACCATCCCGCCTCCCTGCCAAGACCAGGGTGGCAGGGATCCTAGACTTCTCTGAATACTCAGATTCGGCCAGCCTCAGGAAGGACCTCCTGCCTCAACCCTGTCTTTGGTGAGTACATGGGAACAGTGTAGAGGAAAGGAATCCCTGAGAGCCCAAGGATCCTCAATTCTAACACCTCACACTTTATCAACAGGAAGGGAGGAGCAGGACCGTCCCCAATGAGCTGGCAAGAAGTGGCTTCCTCCAACCTTGTTTTTTCAAATTAGGTCCCTGACTCATTGTCTGTCTATAGTTAACGCTCGTTCTCTCTCTATGCCAACAACTAAAACTAACTGAGAGTCCCCAGTTTTGGCCATCTGAAATTATCTAATGCTCTCCTGAACAATACAGAATGCCACAGAAAATGTAGACGAGAGACAGCCCCTTGTAGTTATGAGATTATGGGGCTGCTTCCAGGATGGGAATGAAGCCAGTACTTTTGCAATTAATGTGTTCTATAGGTCTCCAGAAAACAAAGCAAAAGGCTGTAAGATCCCCAACAGACATAGAAATTCTTGGACTAACAGATTAGAAATAACTGCATAAACAGGTTTGACTTTCTTAAAGGGCAATGCCCAGAACCAAGTTGGACTTTGAGCCCACTCCAGGATCCTCTTCCAGCCTGGCCTAGGAGAAGAGCCCCCAAGTGACCAGGGCAGCCCTGGGCTGCTGTTCCAGCTGTCCCTAGCCACCTCCTGCTAGTGCCCTGGCCTTTCCTGGTGACACCATAGGCATCAACGCCCTTGTTCTACCCCGATCTTGGCACCTTCTTGGGCATGTCACCTCAGCTACATGCCCTCCTCTTCTCTTGGCCTCCAGCTCTTTTTGGCCCTGGGGGAACTTAAGAGCATATAAGAAGGGAGTAGGGAGGTACCAGCTAATGCTCTTTGGGAAGGTACTTCAAGACTGTGCCACGGGCAGCAACTCTAGCATTGAGGGACACAGTGCAAATGAAAGCAACAGAAAAGGAGGACTGGGCAATGGAGAAGCCAGGACAGGGTGGAGGAAGGTATATGGGGACGTTCGTTGAGAGAGCAAACAGAAGGAGATGGACGTAAGTCTGGATGGCGATGGAGAAGAGGGAAGGGAGTGGCACATTCTCAAGTAAAAAAGTAGACTGGACACAGGAATCAGGAAGTCCCAGATGGAGAAGAGAAAGAGACAGGAGAGAACAAGACGGCAAATTACATCAAGTTACTAGACATCTGGGCCTTTCCGTTGCAGGTGTCCCATCCCCGTGGTCTCCCTCTGACCCAAGCCAGTGACAAACAGCACAGCCCCGCTTCCTCAGAACAGGAGGGGCCATCTTCCCATGGCATCTTGCAGGGGAGCAGGCTCGTCCATCAAAGAAGTCCCCGGTCTTTGCCCATCCTCCCTCCCGAACCAGGTGATGGTTCCACAGCAGCGATCTCCATACCTCAGTCAGAGCAGCCCCACTCCCCAGGCAGGCAGGCAGGCAGGGCTGGGAGAAGACTCCAGGACCTTCCCACCTGTTCACCCCACCAGCAACCTCAGCGATACTTACTTACAATGACTACCACGATGATGGCACAGATAGCTCCCAGCATGATCATCATCTGAGGAAACATTGACCAAAAAATGGGCCCTTGGATTTGGGGAAGAGGAGAGAGATGTTCCCACTAGAGGTGTGGTAAAAGAACCTCCTCTGTGCTTGGGACAGTGGAAGAAGCCACAAATCACCCAGGATACATGCAGGCCTCTTGGGGAGGGCTCAACCCTCCTGTTCCCCATGGGACAGCCACCCTTGTACCAGAGATGAGGCTTCCCAAAAACATAAGAGCATCTGCAGCTTGCTCCATTTTGCTTCTCTCCTATTGCCTGAAGGCTCTGAAAGGAATGTCAGCAGAGATGCAGACTTGGGATCTTTAGTCAGTTGCTTCATTTTTCTTCGTGAAGCATTCAGCTCATTCCTAAAAACTGCAGGTATTTAAATATATACCTCCCTACCCTAGCCACTGTGTCCATGTTGGCTGTGTGTGGGGAAGGGCCATGCGAGATCTTCCCATGGTCTTTGGGAAAAAGCAGTCTAAATGACCACTGTTCGGGGTATGGCTGGCACCCAGTTAGTGGTTCTGAATACTCTAGCCTACCCTGGTGGGCAATTCCGGGTAATGCATGTCAAGAAGACTCAGATTTCCTCCCCAGGGTTCTGCAGGGCCTGAGATCCTGTGCCACCTTGGGTTAGGAAGGTAGAACTTGAGGATTTTCTTGCCCAAGAAAGGAAGCCAGAGAGGACAAGAGAACTCACCTTGCAGTTTTTCCACCAATACTTCCTCTTTAGCTTGGCAGCACTACTCTCAAATTGTGATGCTCCCACCTGCAAGGCGTCCGCTCGGTCATCCAGCTGTGACAGTATCTCATCCCTCTTCAGGACTTTGTCCACATTGACACGCATGATGTCCACCACCTGGGGGTGAGGGATGCAGAAACAAAGCTAGTAAGCTTCCTGGCTCGAGACAGGGGTAAATACAACGGAATCTCAAGTCTGGCCCTGTGTAACTCAGGGACACCTTGCTTCTCAGAGATTTCCCCCTGTATTTATTTATTAAATAAATAAATAAATAAATAAATAAATAAATAAATAAATAAATAAATAAATAAGGGATCCCTGGGTGGCGCAGCGGTTTGGCGCCTGCCTTTGGCCCAGGGAGCGATCCTGGAGACCCGGGATCGAATCCCACGTCAGGCTCCCGGTGGATGGAGCCTGCTTCTCCCTCTGCCTGTGTCTCTGCCTCTTTCTGTCTCTCTGTGACTATCATAAATAAATAAAGAAAAAAAATATTAAAATAAATAAATAAATAAATAAATAAGTAAGTAAGTAAGTAAGTAAGTAAGTAAGTAAGTAAGTTTCTAAACTTCTACTATCTGGAAACTCAGAGAAAAAGTTCTCCACTTACTTCCTCCACTTGTGCCTGGGTTTGCTGTAGTCGTCTGTTACTGGTTGTATTAGGAGGAGGGCCAGGGGGACCACCTCCTGGGGCAGTCCCTTCTGCCCCTTCAGTGGGTGGCTGAGCTGGGGCAGACCTGTGGAGAGAAGTGGACCAAGTACACAAAGTAACTAAGACAAGAAAGGAACCATGTGCATTCTCGCCCCCTATCACACATGTAATGGTAATTAGGCTATATGCAACTAGAAGGGATTCTAACTTCTTGGTGACACCAAGTAGGGAGATGCAGCATGGAGGAAGAAGCAAAAGGTGAAAGATCTTGTAATAACATTTAGATGGGGTTCAAGAACATCCAGGGTGGCGTCATGAGATCCTGTTTGGAGTTATCCTTTGATCAAATTCAAACATCCTCTGGCACAATGGCTACAGGGACAAATGTGCCAGCCTTGAACTAAATGGCACTTTCCTGACTCTGAAAAAGAAGCCTTTCACGTGAAGTCAAACTGGAAAACTATCCAGATTAGGAGAAATCCATACAAAAGACTAAAGCCTACAGACAGAACATCTCTTTTATCCAAGCCTAAAGACAAGCAAGTTGACAGACTCTGTTTAAAGGAAACCAGTTATTAGTTGTTTCCCACAGTGATTAGTATATTGGGGCTACTGTAAGAACAACTTGGAGAATCACCAAAGGCAAGGCTTCTAAAGGTAGAGTTGAGACAGAACTATTTGTTTGCTTTGTTTTTGGCAGAGAAGAGTGTTTCACTTAGAATTGGGGCCTAAAGCAATTGTGTTAGTTATGAAACTGTTCCAAGAGCATAGACAGGATGCAAGAATATAGATAATGGTCCTCAATGTACATGCATCATAGACATCCTGTCCTTTCCTTTTCTAGATTTGGTATCAAGTCTCAGGAGGCTCCCCTAGTTCTTTCTATCCCAGAGAGAAATCTTGGTTTACACTACTACACACAGAGATTGTTCTTTTTTTTTTTTTAAGATTTTATTTATTTATTCATGACACAGAGACACAGAGTGAGGGGCAGAGACATGGGCAGAGGGAAAAGCAGGCTCCCTGTGCGGTGCCCGATGTGGGACTCGATTCCAGGACCCCGGGATCACGACCTGAGCCGAAGGCAGATGCTCAACCACTGAACCACCCAGGCACCTCTATTCTTTCTTTCCCTTACACTTAGATGGCATTAATCTAGTATGAGGTCTTCAAGATAAACTCCTTTCCATGTCCCAACACACGGAGGCTAAATTCATCTCTTAAAGAATTCCCAGAAGTCTAACCTAAGGCATGAGATTTTTCTCTACCAAGAAAGAACCTACCGACAGAGGAAGATCTCTCAAACTTAATGGAGAATAGAAGTTACACTAAGAACTCTTCAAATAGAAGCAAAATCTCACAAAACATACCTCATAGGGGCAGTCCAAGAGTAAATGCAGTAGGAATTAATCACAAGTCACCAAAAAGGAAATGCCTTGACTACTCACAATAGAAGTAATACCCAGAAAATTCTCCCTCCCCAAGTGAATTTCATTTGGTCTAAAATGATAGGGAATGCGCAGCCCGGGTGGCTCAGTGGTTTAGTACCGCCTTCGGCCTAGGGCCTGATCCTGGAGACCCCGGATTGAGTCTCACGTCAGGCTCCCTGCATGGAGCCTGCTTCTCCCTCTGCCTGTGTCTCTGCCTCTCTCTCTCTCTCTCTCTCTCTCTGTGTGTGTGTGTGTGTGTGTGTGTGTCTCGTGTGAATAAATAAATAAAAATATTTAAATAAAATAATAATAATAAAAATGATGGGGAATAACTCCTCAAAGAGGCTTTCCTAGCAGATTATACCCAACCCACCCTCATTCAAAAAATCACTTTCTTATTTCCTTCTAAAGCACTGGAGGAAGCAAAGGAAAGAAAGATACAGAGCCATGGACGCCACAAGACTCTTGTGTTACCACTGAACTAAGCAATGTAGTTCTCTGAAGGTGGAAACGTCAGTGAGTAGGTAGCAGCCAGTATTTGGTCTTGGAAGCAGTCCAAGATGATGGCCCCAATGACAAGATTAAGGTCAGAGATCTCGTGATGCCCTGCTAGTCACCATGCTTTCTCCATTTCCTTCAGTTCATCCCACATGCCAGCTCCCTGCTGTTGGGAACCTGTCTGTCCCCCTCTTCCCCAAATGTGTGTGGCAGGGGAATGGAATCTTAGGGCTTGGCCAAAATGCATAGACTATCACATACAGTTAAAACTGTAGAAACCAAATAGAGAAAAAGTGAAATGGTTATAAAGCATTCGAAGGGACCATTTCACTTATTATTTGCTGGGAGTTGGGAACACTCAGCAATAAAATATCCAGGGGTAATCATAACCCATGTGTCACATAAGTAAACCTTCCCCCTTTTTTGTCACTATGAGAAGCAACACAAATATATCTAGAACCAAGACAGGACTCCAGGCAGTAAGAAGAAAGAAAACTCTCTATTAAATATTTGGTGGTCCTGACAGGGAAATCCTTCCTTTGTCCGGCCACCGTTCTCCCTCAGGATCTCCGGATGCGGGTTGTGTTGAAAACTAAAATTGAATTGTTGGGGGAAGGCAGAGTTCCTCAGTTCGATTTCTCTTCCAAGTACTTGGCTAAGAGCCGATGACAGGGAAAAACACCTCCTATACAGGTGGCTTGGAGATGAGTGGCTGCTTGGGATCACATGCCACTGCCCCTGGAGTCGCTCAGAGCTGCTCACCTGGCGCCAAAGAACTGTCAGCTAAGTTTCCGGATCTTTGCTCACCGCCGAGGGGGGGGGGGGAGTAGGGAACGCGTCACCGTTGGGGCGAGGGGCACACGTGAATCCGGAGAGGGCAGGGCAGCTCAAGTTACTAAGTGGTATGCGCACCCACTACAGCTCCCAGAGGCCCTACAGATTCGATCAGACAACAAGAAAGGGTCTCGAACCGCCCCCCCGATACCTCGCCCTGCCCCGGGCTTCGGTACTACCCAGACCCGAACGGGGCGCCCCGCGGGCGAGAGGAGAGCGTGGCACGAAGGTGGGACCCCCGCGCCCCCGCCCCGCCCCGCCCCGCCCCGCCCGTGGGGTGCCGGCCGAGGCTGCGGCAGGAATGGGGCGCTGCTCCCGCTGCCCAGGGGCGGCGCGGTCTGGGGGCGGCGCGCGGCGGTGGCTCCCGCAGGGCCGCAGCTGCTGCAATGCGCCATTTTCCGTCCCGCAGCGGCCGGCGCCGGGGGCGGGAGCTGGCGAGGAGGCGCTGAGCCCCCCGCACCCGAGTCCACTCACATTTCTGTGACAGAGGAGGGGTCCATCTTGTGTCCTGAGGCTGCGGCCAGATGCCTGGCCGGGAAAACGCTGCGGCTGAAGCCCGCGGAACCGCCAAGTCCCGCGCCCAGCGGACCACCCGGAGCTCTAGCTGCGCTGGAAGGGCCCGCGGCTGCCGCGCGGGTCCCACCCTTTATCAGCGTCGGCCACGCCTCCCGGTAACGTGGGCGATCCCGCCGCCCAATCGACGCACAGGACAGGTGCGCGTCCGGAAGCCCAGTCCGACCCAGGCCGCGCCCGCCCGGCCCCTGCAAGCGGGCCAATCCCAGCTCTCCTCCCACATCCGACCCCCGAAAGCAGCGGTTTACTGGGGGGATCGTTCCGTGACCACTACAACCATAGCTGGCTTTACCACTCTAACTAAGCGGCGGGGCTGGCTGGAAACAGGCGCCAGCTCCCTGGAGGGGCGGTGCCAACAGTTTGATTTAGGGCTCTGGGTACCTGCCAGCCAATCACTGAGCAGCTCCTGAAGCCCAGGCCCGCCCACCGCCCCCGGCGCCCGCAGCTCCGGCCAATCACAGCCGGGGCCGGGGCCGGGGCCGGGGCCGGGCCCCAGCTCAGCGCCGCTCAGACCCCGAAGTGCTAGGTGGAGAGCCGGTGCAGCGGTCCGTGCGACCTTCCCGCTTCTCACAAACAGCTCTGGGGTGCAGAATCCATCCAGGCAGAGCCGCTGGCTCTCGCGACCCAGTGCCGGGCGCTGGGTTCGGTCCCTCCAGAGCAATCAACGAAGGCTTCATTCATCCTTTTCCTTCGACATAGCCGGCTCCTCACGCAGTGTATTCTAAATCGAGCTCCCCTGCAAGCCCGCGCCTCCTCTTCCCCCCGCGAGGTCACCGCAACGACTCAGCTACCCAAACCAAAGACCTGGAAATCATTCCAGATTTCCTTACCCGTTCATCTCTACACCTCCTCTGATAACTCACCAAGTCGAGCCGATTTTTCCTTCTTAGTTTTTCAAGGATTTGCTCTCCTGGTATCACTGTCCTACTCTCACTTTAGACTATTGTCCCTTGCCTGGACACCATCAGTTGTAAAACTTAACCATTACTTTAGCTCCTGCTAAGGAAAAAAAGGTGGCAAATAAACTTTGCCATGCTTTCTTGTCACTTTGGATTTTTATTTTACATTTATTGAAAGTGTAGATTTATATAGATACAGATTTTTATAATTCTTCACTCTTGTGCGTACATAAAAAGGAAAATTTTTAAAGGGTAACATGGTAATGGTATTTTCAAAACTTCATATTCAGAGCCTGAGTCTTAGGATTTTTTTTTCTCAGTCTTAGATGTCCATGATTTTTCACAATGTAGTCCTCTGTGCATGCCATCAAAGGCGTTGGTGATGCAGCATTTCTTAAAAGACTGTTCCTATTCTGTCTCTGGAATCTTCTTCTTCTAAGCCTTAGACAACCATTTGGCAAGTTTTGATTCTTCTGAGTGGGTATGACAAATATAGTTTGACTATTGTCTGACTAATAGTTATAGTGAAACATCCCAATTTAAATGTTAAAATGATTTTTTAAATGCCTCCTAGAATCAATGAAATATATCTTTTTGCTTCTAGTTTTACCATCCCTCACATCCATCCTCTAAGAAACTACCAGAAAGATCTATCCAAATGTCACAACCCTGTTTAAACCCTTAAACACTACCAAATCTCGCCAGAAAAAAAAAAAAACCTAAAAATCAGTGACGTTTGTAAAAATTAAGATGTTTTTAAACTTGAAATAAAAGTAATTATAGATTCACATGAGGTGGGCCAAAAAAGGTACAGAGAGGTTTCTCTGTCTCTCTTCCACTAGTTTCCTACCATGGAAACAGTACAATATTAAAATCAGGAAATTAGCCTTGGTACAATCCACAGAGTTTATTCATGTTTCACCAGTTTTACGTGCATTCATGTGTGTGTGTGGTTTTATGCAATATGTGTGTAGAATCCTGTAACCACGACCACAATCACCCTATAGAACTAGGACATTACTACAAGGTTCCCTTGTGCTATCCTTTTATAGCCAAAACCAACCCAATCCCTAACCCTTGTCAGCAACTAATTTGTTCTCCATCTTTATAACTTTATTTCAATAATGTTATATAAATGGAATCATACAGGGATGCCTGGGTGGCTCAGTGGTTGAGCATCGGCCTTCAGCTCAGAGTATGACCCCCAGAGTCCTGGGATTGAGTCCCACATTGGGCTCCCCGCAAGGGGCCTGCTTCTCCCTCTGCCTATGTCTCTGCCTCTCTCTGTGTGTCTTTCATGAATAAATAAATAAAATCTTAAAATAAATAAATAGATAAATGGAATCATACAGTGCGAAACTTTTTAAGATTGGCTTTTTCCCCCTATTTTGACTTATGGATGTCCAATTGCTCCAGGACCATTTGTTGAAAAAGCAGCCTTTCCTCCATAATGTCCTTGAGATCCAACCAACTTGCGTGTATCAGTAGTTTTCATTGCTGAGTAGTATTCTGTGGAATGGATATGCCATAATTTGTTTATCCATCTATCTGATTAAAGGATATTTGGGCTGATTTCAGGTTGGGGATGTTATGAGCAGTTGGGTACAGGTTTGCATGGACATGAATTTTCATTTCCCCGGGGTAAAAGCGCAAGAGTGCAATTACTGGGTAGGAAGGTAATTGCCTGTTTAGTTTTAGAAGAAACTGCCAAATTGCTTTCAAGTCACTTTACCGCTTAAATTCCCACCAGCAATGTATGCAGAATCCAGTTTCTCCACATCTTCACCAGCATTTGGTGTTGTCACCGATTTTTTTTATTCTAGCCATTTGATAGGTCTGTAGCAATATATCATTGTAGTTTTAATTCTCAGTTTTCTGATGACTGATGATGTTGCACATGTTTTAATGTGTGTGTGGTTTTTTTGTTTGTTTGTTTGTTTTTACCATCTATATATCCTCTTTGGTGAAAGGTCTGCCCATGTCTTTTGCCCATTTTCTAATTGGGTTGGTTTTTTTGTTTTGTTTTTTGGTTGTTTTTTTTTTTTTTTTTTACTATTGAGTTTTGGGGATTATTCAAATATTCTAGGTAAAGTACTCTGTCTGATAAATGGTTTCTCCTGGTCTGTCATTTCTTTTTAAAGGAATCTTTCAAAGAGCAAAGGTTTTCAGTTCTGTTAAAATCCAATTTATCGACTTGTCCATCTATGAATTATACTTTCAGCATGAAGTCTAAGAACCTTGCCTAGCCCTAGACTCTGATGATTTATTTTATTTTATTTTCTAAAAGTTGTATATTTTTATGTTTCACATGTAAGTCTCTGATCTATTTTGAGTTCATTGTTGTATAAGGTGTAAAGTTTAGGTCAGAGTTCATTTTATTGCCAGTTGCTCCAGGACCATTTGTTGAGAAAGCAAACCTTCCTCTGTTGAATTGCTTTTGCACCTTTGTCAAAAACCAGTTTGGTAACACAACCTAACCACACACCTAAAGGAATAGGAAAAAGAACAGCAAATAAAGCCTAAAGCCAGCAGAAGGGGGGCAGCCTGGGTGGCTCAGCGGTTTAGCGCTGCCTTCAGCCCAGGGCCTGATCCTGGAGACCCTGGGATCGAGTCCCACGTCAGGCTCCCTGCATGGAGCCTGCTTCTCCCTCTGCCCATGTCTCTGCCTCTCTCTCTGTGTCTCTCATGAATAAATAAATAAAATCTTTAAAATAAAAATTTTTAAATAAAAAATAAAAATAAATAAATAAAGCCAGCAGAAGGGAAATAAAGATTAGAGCAGAAATAAGTGATATAGAAATTAAAAAAAAAACAGTAAAACAGGGGATCCCTGGGTGGCGCAGCGGTTTGGCGCCTGCCTTTGGCCCAGGGCGCGATCCTGGAGACCCGGAATCGAATCCCACGTCGGGCTCCTGGTGCATGGAGCCTGCTTCTCCCTCTGCCTGTGTCTCTGCCTCTCTCTCTTTCTCTCTGTGTGACTATCATAAATAAAAAAAAAAATTTAAAAAAAAAAAACAGTAAAACAGATCAACGAAACTAGGAGCTGGTTCTTTAAAAGATTTAACAAAATTGATAAACCCCTAGCCAAACTTATCAAAAGAAAAGAGAAAGGACCCAAATAAATAAAATCATGAATGAAAGAGGAGAGATCACAACAAACACTGAAAAAAATACAAACAATTATAAGAGAATATTATGAGCAATTATATGCCAACAAGTTGGGCAACCTGGAAGAAATGGATAAATCCATAGAAACATGTAAACTACCAAAACTGAAGCAGAAAGAAAAATTCAACAGACCAATAACCAGCAAAGAAATTTTAACATTGATCAAAAATCTACCAAGAGGGATGCCCAGGTGGCTCAGCGGTTAAGTGCCTGCCTTTGGCTCAGGGCGTGATCCTGGAGTCCCCAGATCAAGTCCCACATCGGGCTCCCTGCATGGAGCCTGCTTCTCCCTCTGCCTGTGTCTCTGCCTCTCTCTTTCTCTCTCTCTCATGAATAAATAAATAAAATCTTTAAAGAAAATAAAAGAAGAGTTAATGTCTATGCTTGTGAAACAGAAGAATGAAAAAAACAGAAATGGAAAACAGAAATGAAAAGAAAACTTCCAAATTCATTCTATGAGGCCAGCATTACCTTGATTCTAAAACTAAAGACCCACTAAAAAGGAGAGTTACAGACCAATAACTGTGATGAACACAGATGCAAAAATTTTCAACAAGACACTAGCAAATTGAATCCAACAGTACATTAAAAGAATTATTCACCACTGTCAAGTGGGATTTATTCCTCGACTGCAGTTCAATAGTAGTTCAATAACAGCAAATCAATCAACATGATACACCACATTAATAAAAGAAAGAATAAGAACCATAGGATGCTCTCAATGGACGCAGAAAAAGCATTTAACAGAATACAGCATTCTTCCTTGATAAAACCCCCCAAGAAACTATGAATCAGGACACCTGGATGGCTCAGTGGTTGCTTGAGCATCTGCCTTTAGCTCAGGGCATGATCCTGGAGTCCTGGGATCAAGTCCCAAATCGGCCTTCCTGCATGGAGCCTGCTTCTCCCTCTGCCTATGTCTCTGCCTCTCTCTATGTGTCTCTCATGAATGAATGAATAAACTCGAAAG